GAATATAAAACAAATAATATTTAAATCAAGTTCTTTATGTTTATTATATCAAATTTTTCAATTAGACATGATGAATATTAATAACTTAATTTAAGTATTTTTCTTAAAAAATGAAGTTTTTTTTAGTTATATTCCAATGTCATACTTCTTTCTTAGAGTCTGCATCTTTTTATTTATTTTTTAATGAAAAACACAAATATTAATACAGTAGTTTGAGATTATGAATGAGATCAAACTCAGGACCTCTCAGTTATATTATTACATCGCTTTAGTTGATCACAACAAGCATTTCCCTTTTTTATTACTTGCAAATCCCTCTTATTTATTTTCTTGATACGCTCAGTTGATATTTACGTGTGTGTTGATTCCCTCAAGTGTTTATGCCTTATTCACATGCATGCATGTTAAATATCTTTCTTCCCATTCATGTATTTATTTTTTCTTTTCATTCATTATCAATATCCTTGACCTTATTATTCAATTATTCTTCTTTTGGGCACGCCAGGATCAATATATTCTTCATGCAATAATATTACTTAGATACTTAATATAAATTATCAGAGACTGTTTGGTTCAACCACCATTAACCATCTCTATAAGTCTTGATAAGTTGAGTTTAATCTTCTATAGATACAATGTGTATATTTGTTTCTTCTGAGGGGAAAAAAAAGATACATGATACTACCTCCGGTCCTAAATATAAGAGTCAGTTGACTAATTTGAAAAAATTAAGGAAACAAATTAAGTTAGTTATTTGTTACATATAGGTGTTGTATTTCCTAAAATATCCTTACTAATCAAGTATATTGGCTAGAACTACTATTATTAAAAGTACTATTTTGAAAAAAAATGTATAAATATGAGAGACAAAGTGGATTGGGGTCTTATATTTAAGACTAAGATAAAAGTCAAATAAAGTCTTATATTAAGGACCGGAGGTAGTACAAACTAATGATTTCTACAAGTGTTTACGTAAATTTGATATATATCACAAATCAAAACTCAAAAACCGGAGGCTAACAATTAATCTCCACTTTTTTTATGATAACAAAAGCTGATTAATTTTAGTTATATTAAATAAATGTAACTCAATTATTGCAATAATAAATCTCCATATCATTTTCCTTTTCCGTGGAGATCCAAGAGATACACTCACTCAAACACATACATATAAAAAAATGCTTCTGTACAGCACCTTTCCAACCTCTATGCTGCGAGCTGCTTTGCTATGTATGATTATATTCTTCATAAATATAACTGGACCATATTACATTTTATATGGATATTGTGCCATTACTATAGAAAGAACTTTAAAAGGCTTTTAAGAAGGATCAAAATGAGATGACATAGTTGATAGTTCATTAAACATTTAACGTTGTTAGTTGATTTTTTTGACCAGTTAACAAGTGCCACCTGGCTTAATGAGAATCAAACACTTGGGGCATCACATGTTTGAACATTTGACAGATGGATTCCCCTTCGTTAGTATTAGACGTTCAACTAAGAGGGTGTTTGGATACCCTAAAAAGTGCTTCTCAGAAGCACTTTTCTGCAAATCGAGATAAATTCCTCCACATATTTATCTCGTACACCGTAAAATTACTTCTGAAACCATGGTTTGGTTTCCATCCAAACACCTTCTAAGTTATTTATCACTCACACATGTCAGTCTTCTTTGATAATTGCTCAAATTAGAAAGAAATAATAGTGATTCCCAGTTTTGACTATGTAATGAATCTTATAAGGTTAGATGACTAATTATTTCTTTGGTTGTTCTCATCTATGTCATTGAATATTATAAATTATAAAAACTAAAGGAAAAATTATTGAAAATATATACCCACGACGATTTATGTTTTACCTATATTCATTTCATGTCTAGATCATTATGCTAAAAATAAATTCTAATGACAACTCTAAAAGGACAATTTATCACCTTTACAAATATACTTTTAGCAATGAATTAATTTCTGTGGTGAAATTTTTTACTTTTGACAATCATGGTTGTTACTGATAAACTTATACTTCTAGCTGTAACTCTATAGTATCAATGACAGTTATTAGGATGCTGGTCAAAAAAAAAAATGACAGTTATTAGGATATGAACTTGCAACGACTTTTTGCTGCTACTAAAAACTTTTTGCAGTGACTTTTTAACTTAACTGCTCTTGAATGTTACACATTATACAATCAGACTGTTAATAATACATCGTGTCACGTTGAAAAAAATGAATCATCTTAGAGATGTGCCTCTTTGGGAATTAACCAAAAAAATCACTTTTACATTTTATGAGATAAAACCACCCCATGTATTTATTTCATACAATCTTAAAATTATTTAAAATAAATTAATTCAAATACCCACATAAATTCAGTTGGCAAAAAAAAAAAACCCACATAAATTCATATGAGAGAGAATGTCATGAGAAGTTATTATGTAAAATCTCATAGATGTTATGAGCCTTCCGTTCCTTCACAAGTAAAATTGCATGGCCAGTGAATCAGTGATTATTACATTGTAATGATTTTCAACGTGGAATACTTAGATCAATACTACTAGTGTACTCCTTTAATCATGGTATTAAAACCCGGACCGGACCGGCCAGTTTGGACCGGAAACCGATGAACTGGTCACTCATCCGGTCCGGTTCTTATCTAAAACCGGAAAGAAACCAACCCGGCCTAAATCGTTTTAAACCGGTGTAACCCGGACGCAACTCAGGTAACTTGCTGGGTCAGATAGGTCACCGAGTTAATTTTTCTTTTGTCTTCTGGGTTCCAAGGATGACACCATGCTCTAATCATATTTATAGGGTAGAGAGGAAAAAAAATTATTGATCTTATTTATCAGACAGAGAGATAAAGTTTTTATATGAATGTACAATTTTATCCTTGTGTTGATTTTGTTCTCACGTGACATATTGTATATTAAATAGGAATAAATTAAAAAATTATTAAATTTTAAATAAAAATTAATAAAATTTAAAATTTTTATTGATACGTATAAAATATGTTGTAAGTGATCTATAAATAAGATGAGGAGGAGTGCTTTTTTTTTTTTTTCCTGACGAGATGAGCTAATTTAACGCCATTTAAGCACGACAGCTGGATAATTACATACTTGTGCAATAGACAGCTGGATTGTGTGTTACACACGTCATGTGTTCTAAATAAGGATTTAAATGAGAAGTAATTGTCACTGTTTGATCAATCTCTAAAATCTTTCATATTCCCGGCGGCGGCGGCGGACATGAACGGCCATTCCTTCCTCCTCCTAGCTTGCCATGTCCATAATCATATCACATCAACAACCTCATAAACTACATTACTCAAAACGATCGAGCTTGGAGGAAGAAGGTCTTTAATTGGCATGGTTAAATCAATTTGAACGCTGATTCTAGCAAAGCCACCCCCTTCATCGCTCTTCTGGGTAATAATTCATCAACCTTAACTAGCTAATTAGTTTTCCAACGTCCCACCATAATGTCTCTTAGCTTCATTTAACAATGCATATATAGGCCACTGGCTCTCATTTGGAAGATCTAGCTTGGATTAGAGAATCAGGTACTAAATTGGTACGAGATTACAAGTGAAATTAAACCTGCGATCTTCAGTGGAGCTTTAGGGCTGCTGCCATTAGTTATTGTGTGAAATATCGGACTTGAGAAGTTTCTCTATGATAGCATTTTGCTCTGGTGTTAGTATCGGAGCTGTACGTTCCCCCTCCAAAAGCCACTGTTGAACTAGGTCTTTGAAACTCTGTTCCACTTCCTTCTTGAGACCGTCAGAGCTGGCCATGGCCAGGCAAAAACAGGGGAACGCCAGCCACTACTAGCTCACACGCTGGTCTAGAACACACACACACTCCTCTCTGAAGGCCACCAAAAAAAAAAAAAAAGGAAACAAGAAGAGTTTTGAAGACCTACGTACCCACCTTTCTAATATACGTACTATTTTATTACGATAGTATGACGCGTTTTATTTTTATTTTTTAATTTTTTAATTTTTCTGTTTCTGTTTCTTTTCTTCAGTGTGATAAATATAATCCTCATCTTGTTGTTCCCTACTTTCTCTCTCTCTCTCTCAAACTCCAGTACTCCACGCGCACACAGAGAATCTTGTTCCATGGGGATTTCCAAGCTTTGAATCCCACTACACAATGGTAAGAAACTGATTTGATTTTCAAACGCATACATATCCTTCATCTCAAACCCATTTCATGGTTCCCTTTGAATTTTTGCTCCCTATTGATTTCTATTGATGGGTAAGAATTTTTCAGCTTAACTGGGTGTTTTTTCTGGCAAAATTGTAGAAAAAATTCCTTTTGCCGTTTCAGAGTCCCATTTTCTCAAACGGTTTGATAATTCTAGGTAATTCTTTGGATTTCTGCCAGTGTCTCTGTTTCTGTGGTGTGAGGAAATGTTCAACTTCTTTCCCCTAATGATTCTTGGCTGGAATGAGAGCTCTGTAATTTTGTTGAATGACCCGTTTTTGCAATGAATGCGACATTGTAGTGTCCATTCTTGTCTCCAATGGGTCAACTTCTGTTTACATTAAAGAAAAAAATATCGGTTTTACATGTTGAGGATGATTTGCAATGAACCTATTTGCTTGTTATACGATTTTTATTTTGGTAAAATGGGATATCAGTTCTTGTAGAGCTGGTTTTGGCTAGGAATATTTGGTTTCTTTATGAAATTAAGATTAAAAGCACTTACTTTTTATGGTTTGCGGATCTTTTGCCTTCTCCTTTCGGCTTAATCAATTTGAATTGAGTAAAGTACGTAGCCTAGACCTTTGATATCCTGCGTTGCCTTAATTGAATCTGGCGACATATTTTGCTAAGAATCTTTCTGCAAGTGTCGTTCCACCAGAAATGAATGTAAATCTGGGGTTATTTGGAGTGATAATTTTGGCTCAGAATGAATTCTGGGATTCCGATGTTATGCAATGAAATGGGCCTGGTAAATTTTATTGGTTTTTTAGTGCAGTCAGTGCCGTGCCGATGAAATATAATCATTGGATGTTTGATCTTTGAATTTATTTTTTTGGAAAGTAGACTTGCATGTTCAGTTTGTTCCAAATTTCTAAGAAATTTTCTTTCTTTCTCTCTATTTGTCTATCTCACTTTTGCTAAGAAAATTTTGTAGAATTGTTCATTTTCTGAAGTTTCTTGGACTTTTTAGTTCTTGACTTGACTTGAGCCTTTATCTTTGTCCTCGTTCAAAAAATAAACAACAAGAAGAAGAAGATTCTACGTTTGGTATGGGAGTCAATTTGCTGATAATACACGGAAGAAGGAAGAAAAAATTAGACTTTTTTTACGAAACACCGGATCTATTTATTCTCATGAATTAAAGGCGTGAAAAATATTCTATCTTTGCATTTATGTTCCTGCCAAACTGAATAGATTGGGTCTTTCAATTTTGAAGATGACTGTGATGGCACTAAGCCAAAGCTCACTGGTATCTAACTGACTACTTCATCTTCAGCTTTCTTTTTCTTTACAATGTAGGAAAACTGAAACTGATGGTATGATAATTCTGATTCTGTGATTTTTCTTCTTTTGCAGATATGGTACATATAATTTTCTATGGTTTATGCATAATCCAGACGTCTTCATTACAGATCAACGTGATATAGTTAAAGAAAATTCAAGCCCTCCTGTTTTATTGTCATGAGAACCGGTTGCCAATATTGTTCGGGTGCTTCAGTCACTCTGTTATAGTAGAGACACTAATTTGATACTCTGGTATCTATTTTTACAATGCAAGCATCCGAACGTCATAGAAGTTCAAGCATGCACTATCAACTGATGCAACAAACTGAGGCCTACTGCTTACCGCAGTATCAAGCGCTATACGGAAATGACATTAGAAGCCATGGAACCCACTTCTCTACTCCATGTTCTTCTGAACTCTATTGCACATTGGAGTCCTCCTCTGCGACTGGGATTTTCCATGTTTATGACTCGCCTTCAACTGTCAGTTTCTCGCCTAGTGGGAGCCCAATCTCGCAGCAAGATTCTAAATCATACTCGTACCCATCTGATCAACATCAGTCTCCAGACAATACTTACAGCTCTCCAATGAGTGGTTCCTGTGTAACTGATGATTTGCATAGCTTCCAGCACAAATTGCGAGAGCTGGAAAGTGTAATGTTTGGCCCTGACTCTGATAATATTGATAGCTATGACAGCACCATCAAGGAAGGAATTAACTTTCTTTGGCCTGAAATGGATGGCTGGAGGCAAACAATGGCGGTAATTTCTAGTAAGGACCTGATACAGGTTCTAGTCGCATGTGCAAAAGCCGTTTCAGATAATGATTTGTTAATGGCTCAATGTTTGATGGATGAATTACGCCAAATGGTGTCAGTTTCTGGTGAACCAATTCATAGGTTGGGAGCATATATGTTGGAAGGGCTTGTAGCTCGATTGTCTGCCTCGGGGAGTTCAATCTACAAGGCTTTAAGATGCAAAGAACCGGCGAGTGTTGAGCTTCTCTCATATATGCACATACTTTACGAGGTCTGCCCCTACTTCAAATTTGGTTACATGTCTGCAAATGGAGCCATTGCTGAAGCTATGAAAGATGAGGAGAGAGTTCATATTATTGATTTCCAAATTGCTCAGGGAAGCCAATGGATTACTTTGATTCAGGCTTTTGCTGCTAGACCTGGGGGACCACCCCACATCCGAATTACAGGTATTGATGATTCTACATCAGCTTATGCTCGTGGAGGAGGACTAAACATAGTGGGAAAGAGACTATCAAAGTTGGCTGAGAAATTCAACGTGCCATTTGAATTTCATGCTGCAGCTATCTCTGGCTGTAATGTTCAGCTGCATAATCTCGGGGTTCGACCAGGGGAGGCTCTCGCTGTGAATTTCGCATTCATGCTACATCACATGCCTGACGAAAGTGTCAGCACCGAGAATCACCGTGATCGACTGCTGCGCTTGGTGAAGAGCTTGTCTCCGAAGGTGGTGACACTTGTTGAGCAAGAATCAAATACAAACACTGCACCTTTCCTCCCTCGCTTCCTCGAAGCTCTGGACTACTACAAAGCTATGTTCGAGTCGATTGATGTGACTCTTCCCAGAGATCACAAAGAGCGAATTAATGTGGAGCAGCATTGCTTGGCGAGAGATGTTGTTAACATCATAGCTTGTGAAGGAGTCGAGAGGGTGGAGCGGCACGAGGTGCTCGGCAAGTGGAGGGCCAGATTTGCAATGGCTGGTTTCACGCCTTACCCTCTGAGCTCATTGGTGAATAGTACCATTAAGAAGCTGCTTGAGAATTATTCTGATAGATATACACTTCAAGAAAGAGATGGGGCTCTCTATCTGGGTTGGATGAATAGAGATTTAGTTGCTTCTTGTGCTTGGAAGTGAGAACTGGGCATTCTGCGAAGTTCTTTTTGAAGTGTCTGTTATGGGTTCTCCATAAACACATCAAGTGTCGAGAAAGTTCTGAAACACCCAATTTTGTGGTTGAGCTTCTTTAAGAAGCCGAAAACAAAATCCACTTGGCATGTTTTTATTTAGAGAACTCGAAAACAAACACTTAAAAATCTCAAGTATCATCTGAGAAAAGTGCAGATGAGTCTACTTATTCTGCTCTGCATAGTACAAATCCCTGTTACACCAAATATGACTCTTCCCATTTTCCTTGTTTCAAAAAGTTAAATCTGAAAATATAGCTAGTTTTCATTTTCTTTTTTAGCAATATTGTTCTTAAATGTCATGATCCTTTTTCTGGCCCCTGAAATTCTGAGCACTCCAGTTACATGGCTGGGAAAATCGTCACTGAAGGATTGCAGTTATTATCAGAATGGATACAAGTTAAATCACAATGAGAATTAACTTCAAAGTTTGAAGTATTATCTCTTCTTAAAGGGAAGTCCAGTGATGTCATTTGGTACATTATTATATGTATTTAAAAGATATAAAGCAACCATATAAGAAATCTCCATGTTTCTTCCCTTTGTTGATTTGACAATTTAGATGAAAATCAAGGACAATTTTTTTGTCTAATGCCAATCAATCACCTTTTTCAGTGACTTTGCCAATGGACTTTGATCATATGACTTTAAACAAGCTTATGGTCATTTCTATTTGATTGAAAATGATTTTCAATCCAATTCATTTATTTAGGAAAATGAAAGCTTATAATACACAGAAAGATACGAATAAAAATAAATATGAAATGTGAATTTTACAATTTAGGGGGCCAAACTTATATGAATGTCTTAAGCAAGCCAATATAGAAGATTAATAAATTTGTTCTGAATCTTAGCTTGAACTGCTTTTTCATGGGAAACCATTATATGTAGACTTTACTCTTAAGAAATGTTTGGTTTGTGAATTGACTATTTGGGCTGTTGACATGGTCTTCCCTCAGGTGGTAGGTCCTTTTGAATTTGACCCAAAGAAAAATTTGTGCACATTTCCGAGTCTTCGTTTATTTGTTTAATACGTTTTTGATTAAATTTAGGCTCTTCATTTGACATGCGGATCCATGAGGAAGAATCCTCAGAAATGACTTAAACAAAATTAGTTTATTTAAACCGTATCAAAATTAAGTCCAAAATGAATTTTGTAACATGTCACCATAATTCTCAGTGTTGAATGATTTAGTTTTTTTTTTTTTTTTGTTATGATGGAACTATTGGTATCCAAATCCTATTATCAAAATCCCAACTAATCTGACCCGACCCGACCAACTGAGATCCATTAAGGGGGTAAGGGTCTCTTAGCCAGAATATTTTCCATGCCCAAGAATCAAACCTAATACTTTTGATTAGCGGCTAGGATATCTATCGTCTCGGCTAATACATACTAGAAACCAACAGGACTAGGTCAACTGAAAGGAGTTAGTCCTTCACATGACTAACCAATATTCAAATCTTGTCGAGAGAAGGGTCCACATTTGGTGTCTAATAGTGTTTTGAATATAATTGCGTCCAATAGAAATAAAAAAAGAAGAAAAAACCTATGTTGGCATTTAGTTTGATTTTAATTGAAGGATTAATACAAATATTGGTCCCTCAAGTGTATCTTCATTTTGAGCTTAATCTTTCAAGTTTCAAACCACATGTTTTAGTCCCTTAAGTTTTTTTTTTTTGGTCTAAAACATTGATTCCTATAATTTAATAAAGATATGGACTATTTTGCTTCTTGATGGACCAAAATTTATGATTTAAAACTCAAGGGATAAAATTGAAAGCCATGCAAATTTGATAGACCAAAGATTATGTTGACCCATAATTGAAATAAGATAATATAATACTACCTCCAGTTCTAAATATAAGAGCTAATTGACTAATTTGAAAAAATTAAGAAGATAATTTAAGTTAATTATTTGTAATAAATGTGTTGTATTTTTTAAATATCTTTATTAATCAAGTTTATTGGCTAGAACTACTATTATTACAAGGATTATCTTGAAGGAAAAAAAAGGATAAATATGAGAGATAAAATGAGTTGAGGTCTTATATTTAGGATCAAAATAAAAGTCAAACGAAGTTTTATATTAATAACCGAGGTAGTAGTTTTTTCAGGTCCCTGCTCACTGATGTTGGTATAAATGATATATTTTGTAGGATTTGATTAGCGACTGATGTTGGTATAAATGATATATTTTGTAGACTTTGATCAGTCAGCATAAATCTATAGTTTGCAGCGAGTTAAGACTATTTTCCTTGGTTTAAAGATCGAAAACACTTGGGTTAAATTTTTATATCTATTGTATTAAATTCTTCAATTACGCATAATCATGTGTGTGTTTTTTTAAAAAATTTCATATAGGTTTATAATTAAATGATCATATTTCAAAATAAGATACATGATCATATATGATTAGAGAATTTGACATAATAGATATAAAGAATTGATGTAAATATCATTCTTAAAAATTATAACCGCAAACACAAAAACATATGTAAATTTACACAATTTGAAAATAGAAAAAACTTAGATCAAATTCCTTATATTCATTATGTCAAGTTTTTTAATCATAAATGACCTTGTGTTTTTTTTTTAGTTTCATATGAATTTATAATTAAATATTATTAAATGCTAATATTTTAAAAATAAAATATACTCCTCCGGTCCTTAATATAAGACCTAATACTTGAGTTGGTTTTGGTTCTAAATATAAAATCTATTTCTCATATTTATTAATTTTATCTAAATTACTGCTATGGATATTCCTTCAATCATTATCAAGTAGAAGAGAGAGAGGAGATATTAAGAAAGGTGATTATAGTATTTTAGAAAAAATGTGTCATTTTTCTTATAATTAACTAACTTACCTAACTTTCTTGATCTAATCAAATAGTTAAATAGATCTTATATTAAGGACCGAAAGAGTACAATCATGTGTAGCTGGACGTACTTGATAAAATGGACATTCGTATTGTCCTTTGAAAATATAGGCAATGAATAAAATTATTTTTCAATTCAACTTGGTTTTAATCTAAAACGAACACAAATATTTAAACCCCGGGCCGCTTATCCCCACATGATTAAAAACACACATATTACTATGAAACATTCATATGACATCCAGTTCCAGTTGCTCAATCAATTCTGATTCCTCCACCCCATCCAATAGTTTGCATCAGTCAGCTTCAATTGAAAGAAAGTAACCTTAGATATATTGAAAATTACTTCCGGCAAAAAAAAAATATATATCTTAAAAATTAGATACTCAGTCTGATTCATCTCTCAAGTGAATCTCATAAATTACACGTATCTTTTAAAGTTGAGATAATCAAAATCAAAATCTACTTGAAGACAACTACTTCCAACAAATGGAAGAACCATCCTTTGATGTCAAGACTTTATTTATGCAAGGCATTGTATCTGTCTCATTAAAACGACACATTAGAAATTCATCCCGGATGCCAACAACAACAACTGCACATTACTAAAGTTGACAATACATTGTCAAAAAAAAAAAAAAAAGGAAATGAAAACTAAGATAGATCCACAAGATTTTGTACATCCTTCACTTATTTATCCCATATAAATAGTAGTATACAAGTAATGTCCAATGTAGTAATATCCCCTTATATTATTAGTAAACCTTTCCAAATTCTAAGACGAGAGCAAGAGGGTGCAAGCGAAAACAAAAGGTTAGAATAGAGACAACAATCATCATCCCATATAATACTTAACTTATTCCTGCATCACCTATGTTATTGTCAGCTATTTTGGTCCTCAGTAAACTAGCTTCAACTTTGAAGAGCATTGCCAATTTAGCTTTGGACAGGATCTGCATCAGGTTCAGATCGTTTGTTTAACTTACTTTCTTCTGATACCTCTTCTTTCTGCTGTTTGTTTAATCTACAAGGAAGCTCAGAACCTGAATGGCACGTGGTACCATGGACGCCTGAATCATTTCCTGCGCCCGTGTTGCCATTTTGTTCTTTCTCACTTGAAGGGCTTTCAGAGACTCCCGTAGCGATCCCTTGAGATTCATCCATGTCACAAGTCTTTGGTTTAGCAATTTGCTCACCATTTGGTTGCTCCCGTGGCCTGCTTTCTAGGTGCAAGCAAATCTGTTGTTCTGCCGGTTTAACACAAACAGAGTTTTCCCCAGATTTGGTTCCTGAGTCACTATCGATGATTGTTGTGGAAGTATCTGCTGCTCCGTTATGAATAACAGTCGTTCCAGAGGGGCTTTCATGATCATGATGTCCCTCATATGTGGTAATCACAATTTTTTGATCATGAGAGGCCCTTTCCACATGCTTTTTGACAGGGCATCCAGGACTCGAGCACCGGTAATAACTTCTGGAAGAGTGTGAATGCAGTGTCACAAACTCCCAATTACATATAACCATAATCAATGTATCTATATTTCCAGGTCAGCTCACAACACAGCAAATTAGCATCTGAAAACAATTGTGAACAATATGTCTATAACTTGATAGGTTTTGCTGACAGCCACACTTCCCAATTCTTGTTAGAGGCCTTTTTTCCCAATAAAGGAAATGGGGGACAAAGAACAGCTAAACCTTATATTGACAAGTGAAGCTTTGGACAAGAACTAAATAAAAATCCGCATGTGCAATTAAGAGTTTTTGAACAAAAACACATGCTTAGGATATTTTTAAGAAATCCAACATATATGATTTTGAGCTGTAAAGCTATGTCTTCATGTCATGTTTATATTTAAGAATTTGATAGCAATTGTTTATAAGTTTTACTTTCTACAAAAAATTCCAAAATTTTGAACCAAAAGAATAGGGGAAACAAACTAATAGACGAAAAAACAGAGAAAAAGTGTGTGGGAGAAATAAACACGTAAAATGAAAATAGGAATATATAAGGAACCCTTGGATTCCAGCTAAGTTGAAATATGGGGACAACCGAATATAGAAAAACCATTATCCAAACGCTGCCAAGAAAAAGAACACGGACATTTGTTAGAAGTTATCTATGTATGGGGGCAAAAAGAATCCACGTTCAGAATTTCAAAGAAATCACATCCTTGTGTATCTAATAGATTAATTGAACTAACAGTCAAACTACGACAATTCGCTTGCCAAATTGGAAAAGCAATAACAACAATTGTAATGAGATGGAGCAAATTCTGATGAACAATAGAATGCTCCTAGTACATAAGGATACAGCGCAGAACAAATATTAATGATACAAGGTCATTTCTCCTTTTACATGAGGAAATCTGATGTTATTTTTCATGAATATAAACATAGAAAGCTAGAGAACGATAGGATATAACGCAGAATTTGTCATATATGGCAATGCCACAAAAAGTATAGAAGGAATACAGTTTAGTGATACATAATAAAAACTATATGGTTGGCAATAAGTAAATAGTGGGCAATGATATGAATTTGAAATGAAAGGGATTCAGGTTGGCAGCAATGAAGCACTAAGATATATTCACAACCAGCTAGCACAACGAAAGTAGGCAAAATGATTAGGTAAATCTCAAATAAAGCCAAACCTCTACCTTGGATTTGGATTTCCTTTTACCAGTTTCTGCCCATACTTGCGCCAACGGTATCCATCATTAATAAAATCAACCTCACTTGAAGTCTGAACGACATAACGAGATTCACCAACTGACTTCTCAGCCCCAGAGGCATCAGCATTGCTAATGTTTTTCTTCCTGTTTGATATTAAATTTGTGAGTAACAGAAAAGTTAGACATCATATATATGATATATCAATTCAAATGGCTGTAAAAGTAGGTGGCGCAATATTGTACAGGCGTTTTGACTCAGGATCCTCATTGGCAAGAACCTCATCCCTTGTTCTAGTCGACTGTAAAGGTGCAGCTTTGACCTCATCAACCGTGGAAACTGTTGAAACTGGATGAGTTTCTAGAGACTTGTTCGGTTGAGGCACACATCCATGCCCAATGGATGTTTTGTCTTCATCAAGGATGCCAGAAAACAATCAGTAACTTTGTGAAGGATACAAACTCAAATACAAGAAAAGTTAGCTTCTTACCTTCCATGTTGGCTAGAGAGGGCTTATTTGATTTTTCTTCGACAGCTCGTGGACTGTTCACTTGAGGATGATTATGCTGACCAATGCAAATGGTATCTGTAATTTGTCCGTTATTTGACTGCTCCAATTGCTTCTTCGCTGGGCAGTTGGAATGTGTGCACTTGTAATAGCTCCTTACATATTCATTGCCCTTAACATTTTTCTGGCCATATTTTCTCCAGTTATATCCATCCTTGGAGACTTTTTCACGTGCTATAGAGGGACCACCCTGACCACCATGCAATGCACGTGGAATAGTGCTAGTACTCTGCAAGGGTTCCACATGTGGTAAAGAGCATATGCTCCATTGCTCTGATTTCCGTGCATTGGCAGAAGCATCAGAATCCCACACTCCTTTTTCGGCTACACTGTCTTTTGATATCTTTTCACATATAACAGGTGGTCTTTCCTCTCTAGATTGCAATGGGCGATAATCAGTATTAGGACTCTGCACAGGTCTCTGCAGTGGTGAGGTACATGCACTTCCTTCTTGATCTGATTGCAGAGCATCAGGGGTAGCATCAGAATCCTGCACTTCTTTCTCAGTTGCAACAGAAGAAATTCTTCTTGCTTCCTCCGGGTTGGATGAATCAATTTATCATCACAAGTCTCTTGTGACACAGTAATATCGCTTTGAGAACTCAGCCTCTGATGCAATTTATCAGAAGAAACATTGCGATCAGCACTTTTGTCTGAAGAAACCATGTGCACCTCTTTTATATCAGAAGCAGAAAGATCCAGATGAACTATATGTTTCCATAAATGTCTTCAGTGGTGGACTTGAACAAAATCAATGTGCTGGTAGAGTACATATGCAAGACATATTTGAATAACTAATTAGAATAAGCACAAATTTGGATGCAATGCTATCAGTAAAGTTATCAATCCAGCAATTATTAAGTTGAAACTTTAAGTTATGCATTTCATACAACTTAGGGAACTTTATCACTCATCAGCCATTTCTAGTAACAAACCATAGTTATCAATAGCTGCGACTTGTATAGCCTCGCAAGTTTCATGTAGCCCAGCTATCATCATGCCACCAGTGTGATAGAACCCAAGCAAAATAGTACTACCTCTGGTCCCTAATATAAAACCCCAGTTGACTAATTTAGGGAGATTAAAAAAATTACTAAATTACTTTAAAGTATTTACATTTATTGTTTTTCTCCAAATTAATTTGCTTCACTTATAAATTGACATATAATCTAATGATACACATAAATATTTTAGAGATATCATATAACATATGCTATAATTAAGTAATTTAGTAACATCCTTAATCTCCCCAAATTAGTCAATTAGATCTTATATTAAAGATCGGAAGTAGTAGATATCCAACATTGAATTGATATTAAATATAAAAATACTCTTCTCCCCGAAGAGAAGAAGAGTGTTACAGTACAAGAACTCACTCAAATTGATGATACATTCTATTGGATACAAAAGAAAGTGCACTAAATATGTTAGAAATCACTAACACACTAACACGGAATGCAAAAATGACAAGGAAATATGATCTTTCCCTGCCCCAACCTAACATTCGAGAGGCCAGAATTCTCCTCACCACTCTCAGGGTGCGTTTGGTATGAGGCATTTAGAGTGGAGTGGAGTGGAGGGGAGTGGAGGGGAGGGAGGGGGAAGAATATTAATCATTTCGCCTTGTTTGGAAACATACAAATTTTAGGAGGGAAGAGAAAATTTTTCCTCCCCTCCAAAATTGAGGGGATTTGGAAAGAAAGAGCAATATTTTACCATATTGTGACTATTATACCCATATTTATTTTTAATATCCCTATACTACCCTAAATTCTTTTCTTCTTGTCCCCAGATACTGCTCTTTCCTTTGCATGACCAAATATTGCATTCAAAAATGGAATACAGTACAAGTTGTGACTGAACATTACTTCAGTCTTCTTTTCAATAATTCTTCACGCTCCAGAGTATATTAGAATTTCGGTATAAGTATTGCTCAATATATTAAATGTTATTTACAATTCTATTTTATTAAACATTCTATAAAATTTGAAAAAATAATCTTAAATAAAATAAGGGCAAAATTGTCTATGTCAAAATATTTTTCCCTCCCCTCCCCTCATGAACCAAACAAGGTAATATTAAAACTCCTCCCCTCCCCTCTTCTTTTATAAATCCAAATAAGGTAATATTAAAATCCTTCCACTCTCCTCCCCTCCCCTTCCTCTCATTGAGCCAAACAGACCCTCAATGTCCAAAAGACAACTTAATTCTCCCAGGATGAAAGAGAAGATTTAAAGAAAGTGTTACAAAAGACTAAACATACCCTTAACTGCACCTACTCCCTACTCATATTCCACTTCCTTTACCTTACAGTCAGGAACCTTAGGTTAATACTCTTATCCACTGGAATTGCTCTTTCCTATACCATTTCCCTTCCCATAAATTCTGCTATAGGCCCTAGGAAATGATTTGTAAATCTGCTCTGAATCTTCAGCTCCATCAAAGTGCTATTTTTCTGTTTGTTGTAGTGCATGCTATATGCCCTAAAGCAAGATTAGGGATACTAGTTTAATTCACTTTTAAGAGACCCAACCCTAGCATTTCTTGATCCAACTTTTACCCGTCACTGGCAGTTGCCAAAAATTCCTGTTGTCCTCTACCAGCAGTTCATGCTCTGTATCCACCGCCATGACCTAACTTTCTTGTCAAACCATCTCCACGAACTTCCTCAGAAGTTGAAAAGGAAATCGACTGTTTTCCTACTGATGACTGTTAAGGTGATATGGCATTTGATCAAATAGAAAATGAAGAAGTTTTCTTAGCGTATAGCTCAGACTCCATCTGGGTCACACTTATGTATCTTATGACTTTAGCACTTGATGTTGCAACTAATGGCTGACTATTATGCTGATATGAGTTTTGCTTTTTAATGTGTATTAATCACTAATCATTATGAATTATTCTATATAAGTTAATGAGAATTGCAAGCTCTTTTCCCATTTGGCCTGCACAATCCTAGGTGCTACACTATAGCATTTTTTAGCACTAGTCACTGCAAGTGCATTATGAGCTACAATGACCATGTAGTAAAGTCATCAAGAACTCAAGAGTGATATGCTAGAAATACATGGATGCCAGAAAATCTCGTTTTCCAAATGACTTGTATACTCATGTCAATGCTGCATTAAGCATTCTTTGTCGTATAATTGGTGGTGGTTTAGTCTGACATGAGTTGCATAGTAATTAGTCAATTAATCAAATCACCATTCATCTGATGCACATATATAAGATGTTGATCAACGGATTAATAAAAAGGAGAAAAGGCCTAGGCTTGTTCACAAAGATTGAAGATCCTGGAAGTGATGCTTCTTTTCCCAGTTACTGTAGCAAATATTATTAGAAGTTTTATCCCAAGCATTCAAAGTTGACTGTAACAGCGTGTATACATAGAAATACATGTGTTCAGATAAAAACAAGTTCAAATTCTAAACCAAAATTCGATTCCCCGCACCTTTCTGATATTATTTGCATTGAATTCCAAATATTACACTTTCTTGATACGCAGACAAAACTCTACAGGCTTTTTTCCACTTCTTGTCTAAGACTAACCCAAGCAGACCCAGCGCGTTTCGCTACGCCTTAATTTTCTGCTTTATATTTCAAGACGAGCAGGAATACAGATTTTCATAATCAAGGTCTTGTATAACAACAATTCAAAGATTAAAAAACAATCACTTTTCCACCTTCTCTCGAATTTTCAAACACCCACAACTTGATAGCTTGATTACCGCAACAAATCAACAACAAAATTCAATTTCTAGGACAAAGCAAAGCAAGAGCAATTCCAGTCAAATTATAGAAAAACACATAAAGGAGCTTGAAAAAAGAATAAACCCTCCATTTGTGAGCTGAAATAAAGCCCAAAAACCCTAAGGATACAGGGGAAATCATTACCTGGAGGAGGAATTTAGCAGAATCAGAAATCAAGCATGCGTGGAGATGGGAAGAAGAGTGAGTGAGGGAGTGGGTGGAGGGAAGAAGAAGCATAATAAGAACATGCTCCTTGTTGTGGGTTTGGTTTGGCTTTTCAAGTTTGGAATAATGAAAGAAAGTCCAACATGTATAAATTCCTTATTTTACCAAGAAAAGGAAACTTGGGATGCCGAAGGAGAAAAAGTCCACTCCCAAGTGAGTATCATAGAGAATATGATCTCTCTGTGCTTTGATCTGTCAGACGCCTCGATTGGATGCTTCTTGCTTTGGTTTTTTGGACAACACATACCCTTAGTGGACCTAAACCTGTGGCCCTCTTCACATGTTCTTGGGCTTCAAGCCTCTTGGGGCTCCTTTTTTTTTTTTAAATACACCTTGGGGCTCCTATTTGTTGGTCATAGTTATTGTTCAAGGAAGAAATAATTTCATGTGTACCAAAACAAGAAATAATTTCATATCAAAGATTAGAATTTAGTACAAGAAGCTAGTTTCTTATAATATACCGAATTAAGATTTAAATTTTTATTAGAAAATATTTTCATATTTAGTGTGTGACAATATCTTAAGCATTGCTTCCGAAGACACCTATACCAAAAAAAAATTATACCATAGTATCGAAAAAATAATTTTATATCATACTATTTGTATATTGATTATTAAATTTTGTCATTAAAAATAATCATGTAAATAAAAATAAAAATCATTTAACTGTGACTTTAGAGCAGCATTCATATATTATTTTCCAATTTTCCCGACAGCATAATGAAATTATTATTAAAAAAAATGATATTTAGGCAACAAAAATCAAATTAATCTAATATTAGAACCAAAATATTTAAGAATATTAAAGTTAGTATACCTTGGCAGCCCATCTTAAAATATGCAGTTATATAAATTGGTTGATTGGAAATTTAAAATTATTCCCAATAATTAATAATTAATTTTTCATAATATTTTTTACAAAATATGAATAGTGTATAATTCATTGGCGTTCTGTAATTAAGTTAGAATAATTTTATTCAGAAACTTACTTTAAAAATACATTGAAAAAAATTTAAATTCAAGTGTAATCTTAATTCTTGAAACGCTTTTGTCCCGATACTTGAGAAAATGTTAGCTAGCTTTGATAAATAATGATATAGAAGATAAAAGGGTCAAGCTAAATATTAGGGGTGTCCAAGGCCGACCCGTTCCGGTCCCGGTCTTATTGGGATAGGACGGATTCGTCCCAAAATTTTTTGGGACAGGACAAAAAAGGGACCGGGACGGGGTCGTCTCGTCCCGGTTCCTTTTTTTTTTTAATTTTTTTAATTTTTTATCATATTTATATAATATCATTTTTTCATATTTTTTAAGATTTGGGACTATTGTATGGAACTATGGATATATTTATTTAGAGTTTTTATATTTGTTAATGATATGAGATTATTGATTTTAGAATTTTTAGCAAGTTTTTATTGTGTTAAAATTTTTGTTTAGAGTTTTTATGATTATTATATGTAATATTTTGAGCTTTTGTTTAAGAGTGCCCAAACAAATAAAAAAAATAAAAGATGTTTTTTTATAAGGTTTAAGCCCAAAAAAATAAATTAAAAAATCAGATTTTATTAAAAAAATTAAAA